ACCACCCCCCCCCCCCCCCCCTCTCCCGATCGTCTCTCCCACAGCGAGAGGCCTAGAATTACAAATTTTTTCAGGTTGGAACATGCATTAATTTTTTACGATGACCTCTCCCAATCTAAAGTTCCGCAGCCGTTGCTGAAATGTCAATGTCAGAATCAGATATGGTATATCCATTATATTTTGTGCTTTTTTGGGCAAAAATGTACTCATAAATAGACATTGCTATTGCGACCACCAAACAGACGGCAATAAGTCATATTTAACCAACCCTGTAACCTAAATGGATGATGAGGGGGCCTTTAATTCTAAACAGAATTTAAATTTAAAGAGAGATGTTACTGTTACAATAAAAGTTCACCTTTTTTCAAGTTTTAGGCCTAAATCAGGCTACCTTCGAAGAAGATAATTAATAATTTACTGAAAAACTTTGTGCAATAAATTCTGGGAGGAAAAGATGTAAAAAAGATAGATATAAGATTGTATTAGAAGAGATTAAACCACGGTAGATTTATAGATAGTGGGTCAAATACGCCCACAGTCGGTATGCGGTTAGTGAAACGAGAATCTTTCTCACTTGATCTCCATTTGTTTGATCATATAGGCATACCTCAATACAAAGTCATACGAAAATCGGTTGAAAACTGAAAGAGCTATACCAGTTTCAATGTCTAGCCATGTTTCCCACGAATTTTACCTGTAATTACCTTTGTTTTCGGGTTGTTGCCCGATAATTTTTCGGTTGCTGCCCTAAAAGGTAATTTTTGGAAGGGGGGCTGGGGATTTTACACCGACATCATTCTGTCCCTTTTCTAGAGAAGAACTAATTAAACGCATGTCTTAATCCCTGAAAACACCATAAATGATTTTAACGAAACTTGGTGAAATTGTTTATTATCAAAAAAAAAAAAACAAAAAAACCCCAAAAATCTGAAAATACTTCAATTGAGTTATTGCCCTCGTTCTAGAAATCTGATTTTACAGATGGAAATCTTCTTTTTTTATTACTATGTTAATGTTTTCTTGCCTTGCAATCGATGCATAGATTTCTAACAATATTGTGGTATTTTCAAAAATGTTTCGTGCAGTCATAGATTTTGATGTTTTCAGGTGTGAATATTTTTCGATATGTTTGGGTCAAATAGTATTAAACGCGGTAATTACATAAACCCAATACCGGAAGTGTATTTTTCACATGCGCATTTAAGATATTTACCGCCATACACAAATAAGTTTGAGAGGGAGAAGAGATTTTTGATCTTCATTTTAACAACTTTACAGGTATTTCAAACGACTTTTAGAAGTAGAAGGGTTGAGTGTTTGGTTGTTCGTGTATATAACAGAAAAGTGATTGCTTCAAAACCCCACATTTGGTCATCGATTTCACTGCAAATGACAATGTTGACCATCAAATATTGGCAAAAAAAAGGAATCGAAATCCAAGACAATACAGTGTGTTGGTTCATAGGAAGGACTTACTCTTTCTGAAGGATCTTTGTTTGAAATGCACAGTTTTAGAGAAATTAATGCTGAATCATTATCTTTATTCTACTTTCAGTTGAATTAACAGTTGTTGTGTGAAATGGGTAAAAGAAATGAGGAGTCTAGCCCTGGTCAACCCAGAAAGAAATTGAAAATGAATGACAAGCGAGCTGTACCATCCGAAGACTATGTTTATGAATGTGAATGGGATACATGCAATGAACAGAAAACAGACATGGCTCAGTTTGTTAAACATATTTCTCAACATATTACAGAATATGTTGTTTCAGACAATGTAGAGAAGACTCCAAATGGTAGGTTGAAATCTGTTAAATATAAGATAGCTATTGCAGTCAAGGCATAAGACAAAGTTTCAGGGGTCTTGAATATATGTAGAAATGCATGAAAATTTCTATTTGGTATGTGTTATATGGTGGAGTCAGAACTTATAAGTTTCAAAACAGATAATTCTAGACACATATATTAAAAGTGAACCTAAAAAACAACATGTTGTTACTCAGAGTTTCACTCTATGCGATCTTCAGACAACTGACCTATATAATTCTAGACACACATGGATTTGAAGGTTCCATTTCGACGCTGAACACTATCACTGATGAATATAGCTAAAATATCCCGGATTCTGAGACTAAGGAAACCTAAGAAACCTGTCTCTTTAATAAGTTTATGCTCTATATCTTTCTACTTTTAGGAACCATGTTTTCATGTGGCTGGCAGGAGTGTGGTGCTCAGATAATCGGAAATCTAAGTGACTTTAACAGACATGTGTATTTCCATGCCTTTCATGTTCGTATTAAGTGTCTGGGTAGAGCATTGTGTATCTCAGCTGGGTGTACTGACGGCTGCTCTACCGACGGATTGAGTCGCAATTCTATACCAGAACTACCAGAGAATTTAATCTGTGGTTGGAAAGATTGTGAGGTATGTTTTATATTTTCAATAGAAACTTCATACAATGAATTGTTTTGGTTTAATTGCTAAAAAAACAGACATCTGATTGAAAATTTGAAAGATGCAAATTGATCCTATCAGTGTCCCCAATACAGATATAAAATTTATAAGACCTCTTTATAATCCCTTTGATGTTCTATTTCAGATTATCTATGATAATCCGGTGTATTTTTATAGTCATGTTAATCAACATATCGAGGAATATGGAGAGGGCAATAACTTACACGGGGGAGCCAAGTGTAAATGGGCAGGTAATTATTTTTTTATTAAAAACTAAGCCAGAAGAGTGTATGAGAGCTAATATTTAGCAATATCTTTGTGACTCTGATAACTGTAGATTGGAGAGTGGCCAGGCTTGATCCCTTCTTCACAATGTCAAACTATTGCGAACTACGTCTTATACCTTGACTGCAATAGACGCAATTCTTGCATCTTCACAATGTCAAGCTATTATGAACTTAGTACTTATACCTTGACTACATAGCCATCTTTCTTTTATCACATAAGTTTGTAAATGCAGGGCTTTAATTTAAATTTATACTATCAGGACTGTTGATTTGGCTTGGTTTGCCGGTCATGACAGACGGGCAGCTGAAAATGGCCAACGGTCAATATCCTCTAATATAGCCAATCAGAACCCTTAGATAAAGTTCTTTATGAACGTAAAAGCCCTAATAGCAACTTTTGTGAAAGCTGCAACATAAAATGCCTAGTTTTATCGATGTCCCAGATATACATAAAGAATAACGAATGTATCCCGTGTTTTTACGGAGACTTGTTATATTTGTAGGATGTGATACAGTAGTTAAAAGTAGATATAAGTTAAGAGAGCATCTGAGAAGTCATTCACAAGAGAAAGTTATAGCTTGTCCTACTTGTGGAGGGTTATATTCCAACAGAACTAAGTTTATTGATCATCAGAAAAGACAAGCTGATAACTCTAGTAAGTCGATTTTATAGAAATACAGTTAACCTTTATTTAAGGGGCATGTATCATCATTTTTTGAGGGGTTGATTTGGGTCCTTGAATAGGTAAATAGTCTTAAGAAGGACTGATACTAAAAATATGTTGTAACTCAATTTCATGCTGTCAAATTTTCAGGTTATATAGGTCTAGCCTGACAAAGTTATCCTCAAATGATATGCAGGTGTAATATCGTCACTGTTAGGGCCAAATCTTAATTTTGATGACCACAAGGGAGATAATTGACTGTTTCTTCATTTTCAGAACAATTATACCAATGTTCACATTGTAACAAGAGATTTGCTACAGCTCGTATTCTACGAGACCACATGAGGCATCATGGTACGTCAATATTTACATTTTTATCATTGATAATCTTATACCTGACTTCTTACGCCCGCATCCTGAAATGCTTGTGTATTATTAGATTTTTTTTACCCCGAGTCAGGATATTACCATCATAATTTTCAGCTTGTTCATATTTGTATCCATTTTATGTTTCAGTAAACCATTATAAATGTCCGTTTTGTGATATGACGTGTCCGTCACCTTCTGGTTTACGTTCTCATATAAAATATCGTCATTCACAGGAAAAACCTTTTAAATGTCCTCACTGTGATCATAGGTAAGTTATAACATGTTATTATTTAGGATTCATTATTTCAAGTTAAAAGTTAATATCATAATTATCAACAAGTGTTTTTCTAGCAATGTGTGCCCACTTTTAACGTATATTCAGTGCATCAAAGGTTTAAACTCTGTCCATATTTGTTGAATCAAACCTCCAATTGTGGGCTGAATGATGGACAAGGGCTCTGGGAATATACCTTCATATTATAATGTTATCAAGCCTTTTAAATTGTGAAGTCCTTATAAGACGTCAGATTCTTAAGCATTCTTATCAATTCTGATTTTCATTTAGTTATTTACATCTTACGAACAAATTATTTATTCTAAATGCCATTCTAGTTACAGTTGTGAAAGAATGATCAAGATAGTGACCAATAGATACAATTTCATTTAAATTCCATTCTCTTTCAGTTCTAAAAGTTCGAATGATTTACGCCGCCATCTGGAATGTCATAGTGAAGCCTCAATGTTTTACTGTCAGGAGGAGGGTTGTGTATTTGAATCAAGAACTTATAATGGGTTAACACGCCATGTTGTTAAAGTACATCAGGTAAGAAAACTGTTAGCTTCATTGCACACTTCACACAGGGTTTAGGACTTGAGGGATAAATTACTGTTGAGTTCAACAGTCAAAGATTCATAGAATAAGCTGGAAGTTCAATAAGACAATTTGGTGCTGAAAAAAAGGGAAGTGTCATCTGAATTGAAAATGGCACAGATTTTAGGGCTTGAGGGCTGAATTAGAGGAAGCCTCACTGGCTCTGTAAGTGGGGACTCGATTGATGAGTTTTTCTTGTCTAAAATTCATAAAATGAACTGGAATTTCAATAACACAAGTTTGAACAGGGTACTGAAAAAAGGGAAGTGAAGACAGAATGGAAGAAGCCTCAATGACTCTTGTAAGTCAGCACTCAATTGCAAGAAAATAATTTGAAACAGGTTTCAGAATGTTTCCACGTGTGCCAATAACTGGTGTGGACAGAAATTAAAATGGGGGAGAAAGTCAATTCCAACAACAGTGTTTCGGAAAGTGCTTTCAACTTCTATTATCTCTTGTATTGCAGAATAAAGATACGTGTAATTTAAGATATGCCTGTCATTTATGTGAGAAGAAAGTGAGCCGAGGAACCATATTAACTAAACATTTAAAATCAACTCACAAATTTAAATGGCCGTCTGGTCATTCCAGGTTTAGGTAAGTTTTTAATTATTGTAATTGGTCACAACCCAAGGTAACTAAAGATTTAAATGTAAAAAAATTATAATGATCATTGATGCTATCTGTGTCCCTGATACACTTAAAAATTTAAGAAAACCTTTTAAAAATCCCTCTAAGAACTGCAATGATCTTGGTCTTAATTCATTCAAAATATATCATTTTAGGTACAAACTTCACGATGATGGATTTTGGAGGTTACAGACTGTGCGTTATGAAAGTATCGAGGTTTCGGATCAGTACGTCATAAACAGTGGGGCGTCTTCTCCAGCGCCCACAGATGATCTGACTGTTGACGAGGATGAACCCAACAAGAATGAAATGTTGGACTTAGGGCAGAAAAATTCGAGTCAGTCTCAAAATCGGTCTTCGTATAACTTAGATTTATTAGGCAAAGTAGCATTACAAGATGGTAAAGACCCTTCCACAATTTTGGGTGCCCAGGGTCAATCGGAGTCCTCTGCTTTACAGACGATAGCTTTAGACGATTTAGAGACCGAGGATCAAGAAAACTCAATGTTAGGCATGGATAGAATCCATGTGGCTAATGTTTCAACGTCTAATCACAGTATGCCGTTATCGGACATACAGCAACTCGGTTCAACCAATCAGGTGACTGTTTTAGACCAATCAGGATCTGTTTTAGAATCTATTTCAGTTACTAGTAATACTCAAACTGTGGCGTCCGATCAGTGTCTGGATATGCCAGTCTTATAACTTAATCATATAAGTGTCTGGATATGACAGGCTATATTGTTCCTCAACAAATAAATGTATGGATGTACCAGTCTAACAACAAAATTGGAAAAAGGTCTGGATATGCCAGGCTATAACCAGGATGCCTCGTCAGATTGGTGTCTGGATATACCAGTCTTTTAACCTTGAAAGTGTTTGGATAAGCCAGACTAAAACCATGATGGCTCTATCAGAAAAGTATCTAGATATTTCAGTCTTTAACCCTGATTAAGATTAGTATTTTTTTCCAACTTGGCTTTTATTGTGTTCATCAAACACATCTGAATAAAACGTCTTACAGTTGAAAAAGTTACTGATTCTGTGTTATAGTTAAATTGGTACGGGGCAGTACGATTATGCAAATGAGAAATCAGAAAAGATTGACTCCATTTTATTTTAATTTTGTTTGTTACAATCATAATGAAATAAAAGTTAAATACATTTTGTAATATTTTACCTTTTGATAGATAATTACTTTTATGCTGGGGTTAGGCGAGTGCATTTTATCTCCCGATCGCGGCGAATTTCAGAATCGTGCGTGTAGCCGTTTTACACCCGCGTGATTCACCGCCATAAAAAAATGTTAGATATTTTGGGCCGATTTTGTTCACGCTGAGTACGGGTGGCCTCTCTTACAAGTTTGACTGTAGGTTTCAACATTATCGAAGTATTTCTATATTAATTCTCCAAATTAGTATACCCTCAGCGCCGGCCATTTCCATCCACTCTGGCCACGAGGAGTATACATACCAGGCGCCATACATGTACGGATTTCCCGCCTTTAGATCTGCGTCTGTGAAGTAGACGTCCAATGTGTGAACGCTCCAATCCTCCAACTTGGTATTCTTGTTGTATTGTGAGAACGAAATCGCCCCTTCAACTGACGTTTCATCAAGATAAGGAATCGAATGGGACCAAAATGAGTCGTCTCCCTTTATTAACGTATGAGTGTATTTCCCTATCAGAGGTGGCACAATGTTTTTACGATGAGTCAAAGGATTTATCCAGCGTTTCAATATTTCACCAGTTCCGGGATCGCGGAAGTGTCCACTGAAGTGAACAGTAGTTTTGAGTCCGTCTGGTGTAAACCGCATTTTACTCGTGACCTCGCCCTTCACGTTAAAAAGTGTGATCGACCCTTGACCTTTTATTTGGGAATAGACAGTTCCACTGAATCCAACTCGGAAACTTTTCAGTTTGGCTAAACTTTCATACACTTTTGGATCTAACCCCGTTGGCTTCAATCTGAGATTGGCGCGAATTCCCACTTCCGGTATGATGATGTCGGGTTTGCCTTCCTTCCGCCTTTGATCAATAACGGCCTTAAATGAAGAATACGAAGTTTCGTTTGGGACTTCATACGTCTTCGGAGCTTCTAAGAACTTTGGGTACTTTCTTCTAACGATGTTCATGATATCATCTGGGATATCGCCGAAACCTTTCACACATTTCCAACTGGTGGAAACGTAGTACAGGTGACCATCCGTTTCCCCCATCTCGAACCAAGGTAGAAACGGTGAACGTCTTGACCAGGAGATTGTTACGTTTAAATTTGGGATCGAAGTCGTAGCTAAATCGCTGTAACGTGTATGGAATTGGAAAAGTTCGTTCCCAACAAATAACGGTCCGGCTGAAAATTTGCCGTAATGCTGTGGATCGAGTACGTTTTCATATTCCAAGAAAATGTCGTTGCTGAACGTAACTCTGTCGTTTTTCAGTCGTGTGAACGGAATGAGTTTCCCATACGTAAAGTTCTCGTTGACCGGATCGTTGGTGATAAAGAACACTTCATTTGGAACGTTCGTTAATGGATTAATCAAAACATCAATTATTTCCCCTGTTTTGTAGTCTCGATAAGCCACAAACTCTTTCGATAAGGATACATATCCAGTCGAGGTTTTCTCTCTTCGTCCTATATTGTATCCATCCATTAGGAGAACTTTCTTCAGGGAACCGCCTGGAATTCGGATGAAGACCGTTCCATTGATGTACGTTACAGTTTCCACATCCGTTTCCGTTGTCGCAAACGTCCTGATGAAGCTGTCCAAATTGGTCTTGGGATCGTTCAGGTCGAAGGCTAGTGATAACCCCAGTAACAAAACAAAGGCGAGGATCTTCATCTTTTCTTCAAACACAGTGAACCCCTGAATCTGAAACATGTGAAGATCATATTAGCTTTTGCTAAATCATCAGATTTCTCAACTTGCATTCCCTAATCAGTGATACCAACTGAAGGTGATAAAGCCACGCCATTGGCTCATCTAAATGAGTGTGTTTGTGAGAGGGAGGGAGGGACCGGGGGG